ACGATTAGATTTCAGGGGACTATGCTATGGGAATAAGTGTTTTGTTTTAAAATGGCTTCCACTAGCTTCGGTACTTTGGAGGTAATCTCTACTAGATGGGGGCACTCTCCTGTCGTCCCAACCTTTTCTACCAATTTTTATCTCAGAAAATTGAGGATCAGCATATTCAGAAGAAGAAGAAGAAGAAGAAGAAGAAGAAGAAGAAGAAGAAAAGAATTTAAAAAGTAGTAGTAATAGTACAGTGGTGCCTCGCTTTATGATTGCCCTGCATTACGACAAATCCGCTTAATGACGATCTTTTTGCAATCGCAACTGTGATTGCAAAACGATGGTCTGAATGGGGGAATTTCGCTTTGCGATTATTGGTTCCCTGCTTCGGGAACCAATTCTTCGCAAAACAACGTTTTTCGAACATGGCTGCCGGGTAATTAAAATGGCTCCCCGCTGTGTTTAGGGACGGATTCCTCGCTATACAGGCAGCGAAAATGGCCACCATATGGAGGATCTTCGCTGGACCGTGAGTTTTTACCCCCACTGGAACGCACTGAACGGGTTTCAATACGTTTCAATTGGTTGTTGTTGGGGTTTTTGCGCTTTACGATGTTTTCGCTTAATGGCGATTTTCCTGGAACTGATTATCGTCGTTAAGCGAGGCACCACTGTAGTAGTACTTTGAGCAGCTAATTCCAATTTCTTCATCTTAGTCTGGAACTACATTTCTCTTTCTGTTTCAATTTCTTTCACTTTCTCTTTCTTTAATTTTTTTCTCTTTCCAATTCTTCCTCAAATTCCCTTTTCCTGTTTTCTTTTTTCAGTTCTATTTAGTTTTTCTTTTTTTCCCAATTCTAATTTGTTTTTCATAGCTAACTCCCTCAGTTTGGATTCTTGTCCTAGTTTCCATTTTTCAAAATCTTGGGAGCGTTGAATATTTTCTCCCTCTGAGGCAATCAGTGTAGGTCCCTCAGTTTATTCCTCACTCTGAATTCGAGGGTTTCCATTTCTCTCGGCTTTCTGGAGCTCAACTTGTGCCTCCATAACTGACTTTTAACTTATTTTGAGCAGCATAAACAATACAATTTCTTATTAACCTGGACTGGTTCTTTTCCCTCACAAAAGCCAAGCCTTTTTTCTCTTTCAATGACTTTCCTTGTAACTCGGTTGCACTTTTCCCAGAAGCCTGCCTCAGCTACTGCCAAGCTCACAACCCTTGCCACAATAATTGTCTGGACAATTCTTGTCTCCAGACACCAGAACAACTTTCTGCTTAGCTTTCCTTATCACCTCAGATCTATTCTGACTCAGGCTTCTATTCCATCTGCTACTGCTCTTTTCCCTCAGAGCTCCAAATTTTTGAGCTAGCCACTGGGTCTTGTAAATATTGAAATAAAATGGCTTCTCTTGAGTAGATATTTTCCTTCTTTTAGGATTCCCCAGATCTGGGTCCAGAAGCTCCAAAACTAAGTCTTCACCAAGACTGTAACAGATAACCACTTCTTACCACAGATCCTAATCCCTTCTAGCTAGGAATACCTTTAAACTCAAGCCCATTCACCTTTTCACTGAACTATTTCATATCCCAGTGCTGTGCCACCAATTTGTCATGATTCCACATGGCCCAATTGTTTTACCAAACAAAGAGCTACATGCCCTTCAGCTGCCACCAACTGATTTCATCAACAATACCTTTTAATAATCGAGGTCCAGGCCATATGTTATTTTAAAAGAATCAAATAGAAATTGTTTATTGATACAGGTGTTGACAGAATAAGCAGTGATATTAACTCTTAAACAAATATTCTCCTTTATCCCTCTGCACCAAAAATCTCCCGCCCAAACTACAAACCTTTCTCTCAATCTCAAAACCCTATGTCTATCTAAACTCCTCCTGCTGCTGCTGAGTCTCTTACACCTTGTGACTCTGCCCCTCCAGCACTCCCATTGGTCTATGCAAATAGCATATGAATATTCATGACCTGGGTGACCACCACAGCTACAATGTAAAGCAGTGAGTATACAGCTTGTATAAAAGTGTAAATGTGCTGTCCCCTCAAAATAACACAAAACACAGCCATTAATGTCTAAACCGCTAGCAACAAAAGTGAGCATATCTCTAAGTGACAATGTCCAAATAGGCCCAAGTAGCCGTTTTCCCTCCCTGGTGTCATGAGACCATTGGGCCACTAAGTCTCAAGTGTGAAAGGGGAGCAGGTGTTATCGCTCTCACTCTCTCAGACTGGTCACTGGAAGTTCCACATGGCACCTCATGGTAAATGATAATGGTAAATGGTAATGAACTATCTGAAGATCTTAAAAAAACAAATTGTTGCTCTACATAAAGTTGGCCTAGGCTATAAGAAGACTGCCAAAACTCTGAAACGGAGCTGCAGCACGGTGGCCAAGACCATACAGCGGTTTAACAGGAGAGGTTCCACTCAGAACAGGCCTCGCCATGGTCAACCAAAGAACTTGAGTTCCCATGCTCAGTGTCGTATCCAGAGGTTGGCTTTGGGAAATAGATATATGAGTGCTTCCAGCATTGCTGCATAAGTTGAAGGGGTGGGGGGTCAGCCTGTCAGTGCTCAGACCATACACCACACACTGCATCAAACTGGTCTCCAGGGCTGTCGTCCCAGAAGGAAGCCTTTTCTAAAGAAGATGCACAAGAAAGCCTGCATATGGTTTGCTGCAGACAAGCAGACTAAGGACATGGATTTCTGGAACCATGTCCTGGGGTCTGATGAGACCAAGATAAACTTTTTTTGACACAGATGGTGTCAAGTGTGTGTGGTGGCAAACACGTGAGGAGTACCAAGACAAGTGTGTCGTGTCTACAGTCAAGCAGGGTGGTGGGAGTGTCATGGTCTGGGGCGGCATGAATGCTGTCGGCACTCTCAAGCTACCGTTCATTGAGGGAACCATGAATGTCAATATGTACTGTGACATACTGAAGCAGAGCATGATCCCCACCTTTCAGAGACTGGGCCGCAGGACAGTATTCCAACATGAGAACAACCCCAAACACACCTCCAAAATGACCGCTGCCTTGTTAAAGAAGCTGAAGGTAAAGGTGATGGACTAGCCAAGCGTGTCTTCAGACCCAAAACCTATTTAGCATCTGTGTGGCATCCTGAAATGGAAGGTGGAAGTGTGCAAGGTCTCCATCATCCACCAGCTTGTGATGTCGTCATGGAGGAGTGGAAGAGGACTCCAGTGGCAACCTGTGAACTCTATGCCCAAGAGGGTTAAGGAAGTGTTAGAAAATAATGGTGGTCACACAAAATATTGTCACTTTGTGCCCAATTTGGACATTGTCATTTAGGGGTGTACTCACTTTTGTTGCCAGCAGTTTAGGCATTAATGGCTGTGTGTTGCCTTATTTGGAGGGGACAGCATATTTACACTGTGGTCGCAGCGACCAGGTAGGTGGGATGTAAACAGAATAAATAAATAAATATAAGCTGTATATTCACAGTTTTACATTGTAGTCGTGTCATTTCTTCAGTGCTGTCACATGAAAAGATAAGATTATGAAATGTGAGGGGGTGTACTCACTTCTGTGATATACTGTATTCTCCACCTTTGCAGGCTATGAGCTTCTGTGTTTCAATGTATTTGTATTTTGATTCATACATGGATTGAATTTTACCTAAAATCTAAGTTTAAATATCTGAATGTTTTGCAAGTTGCAAGGATGCATTTTTAAGTATTTTACAGTATTTTAAGCCTACAGTTTTGCATAACTGTGTGATATTTTGATTTAAGCCTAAATGTTTTTTTTCCTCACAACCCTTTGATAATTCTGGGATTTTATGTTTTTCATATGAAACCTAAAAATTGTGTAAATAAAGAGAACTGGTACAGAATCAACATGTCTTGAAGTTGCCTGGAATTATTGCAACAATGAAGACACTTATAATCAGATGCCCACATGAGTTGCAAGATCTTAATACTGATTACGGATTTCATTCTTGTATCACCCCTTTACTGGGATAATGTCAGCTGTGATGAATCATACAATCAGTTCTCTTTGCTTGGGAGGTCTGCAAATCTCTATGGGACTCCTAGGGAAGTCAGTTATCCTAATCATGTTCTGACAACACCTCTGATAATCTAGTGGCATAGCTTCTGATATGATACGAAACTGTAGGATTAGCTGTACTGGAACAATGAGAAAAGGTCTGAATCTACCCTCATAAGTACATGGGCACTTCTTGCGATATTGAACAAGAAAGGATTTAGATAAGCCAAGAGCCTAAATGTCATCTTGCTTATAGAGCAAGATGCTATTTCTCTGAAAAGCATAAACATCTTCAATTATTTGGACTAGAGCAGTGGTTCTTAACCTTTTTGAAAGAAACGCCCCCTTGAGCCATTGAGGAAGTTATCATTGCCCCCCTCCCCGCGGTGATGATATCTTATTTATTTATTTATTTATTTATTTATTTATTTATTTATTTATTTATTTATTTATTT